GAAGGTTTCCCATTTGAAAGGGAGCAAAGTAAGTCTTACTGGATAGTGTTATTTAATGAACACTAAATTTTGTCTATAGACAATCTCTTCCAAATTCGTGTCCCAAATCCTTGGTGTACTGGGATGTGTTAGCATCCCCAAGGCTTCAAGAAGCCCTGTCCCTATGGTTTTGTGGGGGTCAGGCCCTATGGCCAATTCTATCAGTTATAGTCTCCTGCCTCAAGCTCCCCCTGCTGGCATTCTACAGTGGTGTCTTTAGTAAGGGAGCTCTGAGGGCTGTCTTGCCTAAGGATCTATGAAATCTGATGGAGATCCTCTCCATGGCAGCCCTGTCCCTATGGCACTTCTTTGCAGCATCCTTAGAAATCTATGAGGAAGCAGCCATACCTGAAAATCTCCTACTGTGCATGTCTGGAGAATTAGCACCCTGTAGATGGCAACAAGCTTTATGACTTGTACCTTCCACAGTGGTGATCAGCACCAAACACAGGGACAACTTGAGGCACTGCTGGGAAAATCAGGAAGTGTTCCTTCAGAATGTAGGATCTGAGGCAGTGGGGAAGAGCAAATTCTAGAGTTCTCTGAGTTCCTTGAACTGCTTTCTGGAAATTTCTGTGCCCTCAAGATCCCAGTAGTATGCGTGCTAATGGAAGTGGTAGCCTGAAACTTTTCTGAAATGCCTTTGGGTTCTTTTTCCACTGTCATATTGAATAACATTTGGCTTCCTCCCATCCATGCTGATCTCTTTACCAAATGCTCCTTTGACCACATGTTTGCTTATCCTTTCTACACTAACTTTTTATTCATATACTGTATAGCCAGGGGAATATGTTTTCAAATCATTACATTCTGTTCCCCTTTTAATTATAAATTCATCTTTAAATTATTTCTCTGTTTTTTTCATTTTATTATGTTTATGCAATTGAGAGAAAGCATGCAGTTTCCTGAGTGCTTTCCTACTTAGAGATTTCCTTTGTTAAATATATCTTAAATTCTGCCTTCTATACACCCCTCAGGGAACATACTATTCATTTAAGTTCCTTGCCTCTTTGTAACAAGGATAGCCTTGGCTTCCAACACCTCATTTATTTCTGAGACTTCACAGAATTCTTTTACCATCTTTATTTTTTCACTAATATTCTTTAAAATCAAATTTTTTTATTTTAAAGAGAAAAAATATGTATATATTTTTAAACTAATATTCTTATTTGGACCATGTTAGTATCTCTAAATAGTTTCTGACTTTCTCTCTCATCCTTCTGAGCCTTCAACAGACCTGCCAATCATGCTTCATTTGTGGTCCTCTAGGTTTTTTTTTGTTTTGTTTGGTTTGGTTTTTCTCCGGTACCGGGAACCGAACTCACGACCTTGCGCTTGCCAGGCAGGCGCTTTGCCGCTGAGCTAAATCCCCAGCCCCTGTGGTCCTCTAGGTTTGTTGTGGTGCGCATGTTTACCTAAATCAGTCACTCACAAAGGTCGGATGCAGAGCTAAGCAAGTTTATTAGCCAGTGATCTGCACCAAGGCTAAAACTGGGCATCCACCCTGAAGAGAAGGAGGGGAGAATATTTATGCAGTTCTAGTTCTGAATCTAGTTCCAGATCTAGGGGCTAATGAGTTTTTTTTTTTTTAATTTGGTGCAGCTATAGAAATATTCCTACAAATCATGGACTTAGCTTGTGACAAAGGAACCAAGGTGTTTGGTGCTTTCCATTATAGCTGGGGTGCAGGGTGTACAAAGCATAGGGTTAGGGAACTATGGCAACATTTACAAGAAACAAACTTAAGGAAACAGAAACTTAAGCTTTAAAATGGCACTAGAATATAAAATGGCATAGATTTGGATCCCTTTCCAATATCATTCCCCTCCCCCAGGACACTCTCCTCTTATTAAACTTGTAAGGTGTCCTTAAATTTATCTACAAAGATTGATACACAGGATTTTTACCAGCATCAGAAATTGTACCTCATCCAATCTGGTTCAAATCCTCTTGATCACGCATTTGACTAGGCAAGGCCTAATCACAAGTAAGACTGTACAGATCGCCAAGAGCCCAGCTAGACTTGTCAGTAAAGAATTTAGCAAGGACTTTCAATTGCACATTGGGCATACCACCCTTGGGAATTCTGGCAGTCCTTGGCTCTCTTGTCAAGGCATCTACTGACTCTGGATAAGGTGTCTTTGAGGATAATTTCAAGGGGAGCGGATTCTCCCAGCCAAACAATTGTGCTTAATAGAATCAGCTCATTGGAAGGTTTCGGCTTGGTTTGGGTCCATTGCTTGACATGAGAGTGATATATCCATGAAGGAAGCCCTGAACCTTTAAAGTTAGTATGCATAGGGCTCACCTACCTAGGCTGGAGGGACTCATCCTTCCAGCCCTTGACCAAAGCTTTGTCCCCAGGCTAGAAAGGATATAAGGGTATGTACAAGGGACTGGGTGATGGTCCAGGACAGTCTGTCCCAGCTCCTCAAGGACCCAATGAAGTGCCTTCATCTGGTGATGGATGTGGATTGACCCAGCTTCTTGGAGTCCTTTCATCATGGGCACCAGCAAGGGAACCCATCCATACATGATCTCAGTTGATATGCGGCAACCTCAGTATAGTGTGTACTGCGATCAAGGGAAGGCCATACGCAATACAGCTGTCCAAGTTGCACCATTTCCTGGCAGAGCTTAGGCAAGGTGGTGTGGTTCTGTCTCCTTAACTTCCCAGAGCTCCAGGGCCTGTAAGCCATGTGGAGTTTCCATTTTACCCCTAGAACTGAGGCCAGCTCTTGGACTCCTTTATTTATGAACAGTGGTCCATTATCTGACCCAACAGTCATGGGGAGTCCATGTGGAGGGACAACCAACTCCAGAAAAGCCTTGGTTACCTCTCTCGACATTTCAGCCCTAGTTGGAATGGCCTCCACTCAGCCTGGTTAGGTGCAAATCAAAGCTAGCAGGTACTTGTGACTTTCATCTTAATTTTTTTGTTGTTGTTGTTTTGTTTTTGTTTTTTGCCTGTACCAGGAATCAAACTCAAGACCTTGTGCCTGCCAGGCAGGCGCTGTGCAGCTGAGCTAAATCCACAGCCCCTATGACTTTCAGTTGTTGGTTTAACTTCAGTGAAGTCAACCTCAACATCCTCAAGTGGTGTGGTCCATACCTTCTGGTGCCAGGCTGGCAATGGGGCTGTCATGTGGGGTTGTTGCAAGCACAGATTTTACACCTCTCAGTCACAGAAAAGCATAGTGTCCAAGTCTAGGGATATAAAAATACTGGCGAAGCAGCTCTGTCCTAGCAGTTTTTCCCCAAGGAGTGTGGATAAGTAGGCCTTATATCACAAAGTGTCCCCAAAACTTGGGAAGCAATATAGTTTTCCTAGTAGCACTTGTCACCCATTTTGATCAGTGGCTCTGTCTGACTTAATCCAATTTCACTCATTCTCTGAATAGGAAGGTCTTTTCAGATAGGGTGCTTTCTTGGTGATGGAGTCTCCAGATTGGTTGCCTCTTTTTTGGCTAAATCCTCAGTGTGATTGCCTTGGGCCTCTAAAGATTCCCCCCTCTAGTGGCCGGGGCAGTGTATGATGGCCACACTTTTTGACAGCAAAACTGTTTGTAGCAACCCTAATATTTCTTGTGAATTTTTGATATCTTTATGCCCTGTTGTTAAGAGCCCTCTTTTTCATAAATAGCCCTGTGCAACATGGAAAGTGGCAAAAGCACACCAAGTGTCAGTGTAAATGTTGACTCCCTTGTCATTTCCCAGGTGCGGGCTGTCAGTTCAGCATTCTAGGCCTATGTCCCAGGGGAAGTGTTTTTGATTAAACAGTTTGATTTATTGTGACAATAGCTGCTCCTGCCCTCTGGACCCCATCTCTTACTGTACTGCTTTCATCTGAAAATTGTGTCAAGTCAAGGTGCTGGAGAGGTGAATCTTGGAAGTCCAGTCATGCCAAGTAGAACATCTTGATTGATTTAATGCAGTCATGTTTGGGTGACTCCATAGATGTGGGCAGCAAAGAGGCTAGGTTGAGTGTTCCCCATAACCATTTGTCCTCAGATCCCCTCAGCAGGGTTTTAACAACATGGGTGGGGGTATAAACCCATAAGGTTTGTCCCAAAGGTAATTTTGCACCTTCTTTCACCAGGATGGAAGTCGCAGCCATTGCTTGTAGTCAGGCAAGCCACCCTGCTGTTATATAGTCTAGTTTCCTGCTTAAGTATGTCATGGAATGACGCCAAGGTCCCAGAGTCTGTGTCAGGGCTCCCCAAGCTATACTCTCCTTCTCATGTTCAAACGATTGAAAGGGTTTGGTACTATCTAGAAGGGCCAAGTCTAGGGCACTCCTTTGAGGATGTCAAAGCCTGTTTGGCACTCAGGGCTCTAGTCTAATAGAGGACGGTTAGGGTTTCATTCTGGATGTCCCCTCCAAAGCCTCATGCAGTCATGGAAAGGCTTCTAGAATTTATGATTAATTCATGGGTGTGAGTGCTACACTTGCCCAGGGGCAAGTAGTTTGCATATAATGTAAGGGAGGGAAAGAGGCTGCTTGCCGCTGCTCCTCCTCTTCTGCTCTTGTTGCTTTTGCTATCTTCTGCAGCCATGAACTGTTGCCCTCTGCCATGTGCCATTCTACCTTGGAGCTAGGCAAGTATGGACTGAAACCTCCACAAACTGTGAGCTAAATAAACCTTTCCTTCCTTAATTCTAGGTGTGAGGTATTTTGTCTCAGCAACAATAGAAAAGTAAGCATGACAAGGACAGTTTTGCCTTTAAGCACCTTATACAAGAGCTCAGGGATGGCTGCAAAATTAGAAATGCAGAGTTAGCAGTATCTGACAGTTCCCAGAAACTCCCTAAGGTCCTTTTTGAGCTTGGCTCCTTAAGGTCTCAGATAACCTGGAATCAGGCTATTGATAGCATTCAAGTTCCATCTTTGAGTATAAACCCAAGGAATTTGACTGACTGTACACAAGTTTCTGTCTTTTTTTTTTTGACAGCCAGTACCCTTTATCCTGAAGCAGGTCCCACAGTGTTTGTTCCCAAATGGCATACCTCTTTGGTCTCAGCTGCTAGAAGTAGGTCACGAACATGTTAGAGCTGGGAGACATTAGGATTTTCATGATTAAAAGGCAGCAAATCTCAGACAAGGTTTCAAAACTCAACTGACTTACTAACACATATTTTTACTTCAGTAGATAAATCATACTTTTTGAATCTTTGATTATTCCAACTGTTTAGGTCAGTTCAACTTTTACACAGTGAAACTGCCTGAAGAAATTTGGTGAAAACTTTTTTCTTGTAAAAACAAGGTGTTTTGAAATTGAAGATTATTAAAAAATTTATACAGAAGAATGTAAATATTCCCAATTTAAAGATTTTCTCCTAAACATGATCTGGTTTTACATTATTTGTTCAGTTTTCTCATCTATGAAAAGAACTATCAAACTTTTTTTATTTTACCCTTGAAGCCTGATGCCAGTTACTAAACACTTGGGGGTGCTACCAGTGATTTCTATGATGTAGAAAAGATGCTTAAATAATTTCAAAGAAAAATGTTTTGGATACACTATATTTTGCAGTATTGATTCCCATTATAGGCCATTATCTCTGATTTGTGCCAAGTTCTTAAGAACAATAAACACACATGTACACACAGACTCACTCTTTTCTCAGTTACACACATAAGACCAGAGGTTACTTACACAAGACTAGAACCAAGAAAACTGGGGCACTAAGTATATCCCAAACTCAGTGATATCACTGTTCTCAGGGCCAAATTTCTCACCACAGGGTAGGTTCAAAATCATCTCTTTAGCATTTCTAACACTGAAGTGAGATAAAACCCTTTTGACATTTGATTGTGAAATTTTCAAATAGGTTGTTCCTATGCCACTACACATGCAAATCATAAATACTTCGTGGCTATCAAAACCAAAATTTCAGAGCTTGAGCATCTTTTCAAAACAAAATACCCCCTGTAGCTTTATATGCAACTTCAGTAATCAGGCAGCATTGTTATAAGAAAACATTTACATAATGTTCCAGGAGAATTAAAGATGAAAGGTTTTTTGTCCCTCACCTTTCACTCTATAATTTATGTTCTACTTTTTAGCCCAAATTTTTCAAATGGTTATTGAACTGGGGAAATGCCTTCAGTAAAACTCTGCTAGAGAAAACTGGATTTTCAAAGCAGACTAGCGAAGGGTCACAGCACAACATACCCCTTAATAGTGAGAAGGAATTTGTTGCTTTAATAAATGTAAAAATTTCAGATATTTGTACTTTCCTATGAGGTTTCTGCAATCAGGAACATGTGCCTGCAACATGGCTTTATTTTTCTGATGTGATGGAACTAGTTAATCTACTAGAATGCTTTCTATTAGTAAGGCTAGGTAATCTGTCCATCTCAGTTGCTTTTCTCTTGTTCAGAAATAGAGACCTTACCTGTTTGAGTAATGGAGGGTGGGTATGGGATTTTTAATTAGGTCACTAGTGCTAAGAGGGACATAAATCATTACAGATTGTGTCTGTCTTTCTTCCCAAAAGCTGGCACCTGGCACAGAGGAATGGGGATACAGGGCCCACAGATAGTGAATCCCCAGAGGTGGATTCTGGCCCTGCCTCTGGCAACAGCTTCAAGCTAGCCTGGCTAGTTACCATATAGGGCACTGGAGCAGCAAGTGGTGGGAACATGGTAAGGTGAAGTGAAAATAATGAAGATATACTATATACAGGTAGCACCTCTCCATGAGGAATGTAATCATATGTACAACAAACATGTACTACTAAAAAGAATTACAGAGAGATGAAAATGGAACTAGTCAGTATAAGTTTTGCAGAAACTATTAGAGGAAATGGAATTAAATAGTAATGTCACTTTGTTTTAAAAATCTGTGAAATTCATCTACAATTTCAAATTGCATCTCATCATTTAATTATTTTCATACAACTGACTCTAAGTGTGAGATCAAAAATCAGGATACTAAGTTGCAACTCACCAACTACCAAAAAGAAATTTAAGTTTGAAACACACACAATCAATGATGTCTTCTACACACACCACATGCACACACAGAAAAAAGTTAGCAAAAAGTTGGAAAATTTAAGGCTTGAGATATAATGGTCCTACTGAGACTTGCAAAGGTCAGAAAATAGTGAAGGTAACTGTGTGTCTGTTTTTCACACAGCCATGGCTACTGCAGACTACAACACTGATGAACCGCTGCTTGCAGAGAAAAGGAAACAAGATCTCCAAGAGACTCTGAACAAAGTGGGACTGGACAGTGAGTTTTGGTTGCCCAAATTGCAGGAATGCCTGGGTGTGACTTGTGCACAGGCCCTACAATACTTACAAGAGAAAGACCTCCAGGTCCTGAAATCCCAGGTGCAGCACCCATGGGAAAAGAGAGCCCTGGAAAAGCTATTTGATCTGTCACACTCAAATATCCACCCAGTGATACAGGAGTCGCCAGTGCAGATGATAAACAAAAGGCAGAAGCAAGTGGAAGAGGCACTTCAGGAGCTAAAGGATCTGCTTTTAGAAGGAAAGCAGAGGCCGGAAGAAGCAGTGAGGAGGAAAGAAGAAGAGCTGAGACAAGCAATGGAGATCCCTGAAGAGTACTGGCCACTGCCTGAAAAGTCCCTAAGGCAAGTCCTAGAAAACATGGAGAGGCATCTCAGTCTCATGGAACAGACCTTGTTCCATAGGCAAAATCTTTCATATCAGGATCTGGTAAGATGGGCATCTGGAGGCCTTGCCCTGCAGGGAATTTACCAAACTAGCCAACAAGGGGACCTGGTACAGAAGAGAGAAGAGCTACTCAACGTCCCCAAGGAGTTCTCACTCTTTGGCCCTCAGCAGGGCACACGGATGGAAACAAAAGAGTTTACATCTTCTCAAGCAGAATCCATGTTCACCCACACCATGGAGAAGCTAGGCTTCAGTGTCACTGCTTCAGCCAGGGGTGGAGGATGGGGACTTAGGTTAGAATGTGGCATAGATAAAAGCAAATATTCAGAATCCAAGGAAACCCATCAGTCACATTCTGAGCACTCTTATTATTGTTCAACCAAGTTCAGCTATATGCCCTTGTCCTGCTGCCACTTTTCCACTGATCAACTCCAGTTCTCCAAGGCCGCTCTGCAGGAACTGAATTGCATCGAAAACCTCCTGGATCATACTGCATCCCCCTTGCTGAAGCAAAGGATTGAACACTTCTTCCAAAGGTTTGGTTCTCATGCTAACCAAGGCCCTCTGCACCTGGGAGGAATCTACTGGTGGAAGGCAGTTTCAGAGGGCTTCCAAAGGGAGCAGCTAGAGGATGTCAAGCAGCAGGCATCAGAGGCCCTGGACATTTACATAAGGGGCAGCTACAGAGGCTTTGGAGTGAAAGTTGCTGCAAGTATGACTCTATCAGAATTAGACTCAAAAAAAGCCTCTCAGAACAAAACTCTTCAAAAACATCAAACCAATATCAAATTATCTGTGGCCCAGACCGGTGGCCCACCGGAGGCAGATGGCCTTGTCCAGTGGAAAACTGGCCTTGTGGCCAGCAATCAAACCTGGTGTGTCATTGACAGGGGTCTTCAGTTGGTGCCAGTTTGGGACATCATCCTCTCCAGCCACAGAAGTGATTTTAAGGATGCTCTAAAGGTGGCAAAGTGCATGAAAGACAACTACACTGCTCTGACTGGCCTCAGTGCCCAGATCCAATATGGAGAGGAAATACTGAGTGCTGAGGAGGAAGCTAGAGTTTTCCTAGAGGATATAAAATCCTGGGAAGTATCTGATCCTGAAGAACAGCTTAAAAAACTGATAAATCTCATGCAAATGTTGTGTCATAAAATAATAGGTTATGATACTTGGATTAATATATGCCTCACAAATTGGGATCTGCAGAATTTCTTAGTAAATACCATCAACTTTTGTAAAAAATCTTCCATTTGTGACACCAAATTCATTAAATCTCAGCTGCGCATACTTCTGGATCCTCACGTGTACAAAGTGCCAAACTTTCCTCAGGCTCACTCCATCATGCAGTGGATCTATGAGTCAGAGTCAAAACAAAAGGAGGTCAACATCTCTGAATTTGCAGAATTAAATAAAATCTTAAAAGAAAGTCTGGATGGCCTCTTGGAAGTGAAGGTCAAATCTGATTCCCCAGAAACAGTGGAAGAGATTCAAAGAAAAGTCACTTATGAAGTTAGCATGGCTCTTACTAGCTTTTTGAATTACCTTGGAGAGACAGAGCAGACAGACACACAGCTGTTGTTACTTTGTATTGCAGTTGGTGCAGGATATCACTTGGTTAATAATACTTTTCAAAATCTTCTGCATTGTGGTGAGTTAAGTTTTCTACTGGATAAAGTGCAAAGTGCCCAAAGTAAATATAAAGAACTCAAACATATAAGCATCCACAGGGCTCAGGCATTCTTGGTGCTTATATGTCTGACAGCATCAGCTGGAATCACAGCTCTTTCTCCGGAAGAAAAAACACAGCGCATGGCATTGATAAGAAAATATATGGGCCAATCGCTGTCCAAAGAGGTTGCTCATGTCCTCAAGAAATCTGGAGCAGGTCACAGTTGGGAAAACCTAGAAGAAGACTTAAGATTGATCATTGATGGGGATTATGAAGACACCAGATCACCTTTACATGTAGACAACAACAAGGAACAATTACAAAGTCTGCCTGAAGGAAACAAACAAACATATAAACCACATGATCAAGACAACACTAACCAGAAGGTGACAGAAAATGCAGCCGTCCTAGATTTACTCCAGCGACTGGGCCTAGAACATTACTTCCCAAAAAGGATGAGAAGAACTAACTTTCATCTGATCTGCAAGACTTCTGTCCACAGAACTCAGCCTAGCTCTGAGCAGGAGCTTCCTTTCTATTTCCTACAGAAGCTACTAGTGCTCGATTATGGGTTGAGATATCTGGGCCTCAAAGAAGAAGAAAATACAGAACATCAGCTTTACCCAAGTGCCTCTGACCAGGAAAATGAGGCTTCTGACCCATATGAAGACCTTTCCAATGATGGTAATAGCCCTGTTACCTCTAAACCCAGGCCTCGTATTCACCCGATGGATATCCAGATGGCAATTTTTCACTGTGCAGATGATTTTGCCAGACAATACATTTTGGCCAAGCTTTCTATTTGTCAGTTTGCCCTCCCCCTTTTGGTGCCTAATCCTTGTACTTCACAAATTGAATTCTCTCTCTGGTGTCTCAAACAAGTTAGGAGGAGTTGGCAGCACACAAGTAAATCAGCAAAAGGAAAGTGCAGTTTTCATAACCAGCAGATGTGCTGTGTACCCACCTCCATTGTGTCCTTTATCAGAGTTGGAAATGGCCTCTCTGCTTCCAAGTCTCAGATCATGAACTATCTGCTCACTAAACGAAAACATGATGTGTTTTTTCACCGACACTGCAAGGGAAGCAGCAAAGACTGTCTCCTGATGGAGGGTGTGGTGGAAGTCTGCTGGTTCTGTCCTGGGGAAGAAGATGAGGACAGGTTTGAGAACTGCGTGGCCTTCACCAATCTTCATGGAGATGCGAAGGAAAACAAGCAGCAGCTTGCTTTCCTGCAGGAGGTCTCTTCTCTCATTGTGGTCCTCATGTCAGCCTCTGATGACAATGAAGAAAACAGGAAAATTGTCCGCGCCTTGTGGCAGTCATCAACACCTTTGATCTGCTTGCTTGATGACAAAGAAAAAAACACAGTCAATAATTTTGGTAGAAAAATAAGAATTGGAATCCAAAATAGAAATGAGGCAGACTTAACGGAAGAGATCACTATTGCAATGAGACGTCTGCTAGAGCTTTCTGACACCGCTGTCAGCATGGAGGACTGTTCTGCCATTGCTCGCGAGCAAGGATTCCTTATTGACGAAGACCAGACAGAGTGCAAGGAATCTAAAGAAATGGCAGAGATTATAATGGCCCTCCTGAGAGAAACTAACTTCTCTCACATGAAGGAAAATTTACTACCCCTTCAAGGAAAACTGTGGCATCTTTGGTGTAAAAATGACAAAGAACTCTATCATCTAAGAGAGAAAGGAAACCGGAGCATTGAACAACACAAGACAGAGATAGAAAAAGAAAAGCAAACAATAAGGCATCAACAGTTGCAAAAAGCTTTACATCCCAGTGACCTAATGCGATCTTTTGTACAAATTTTGCAAAAACACCCAGAAACTCACATCAAACTCTACTTTTTACAGTGGGTAAGTATTTTTTTGGAAAAGCACACTGGAGGACACTTGGAAGAACTGCACAAGAAACAAAGAACTTTGTGGTCAAAGATACAAACAGAAAAGCAAAAGGCACAGAAGAGCAAATCTCTGGACCTCTGGCAAAATGAGATAGAAGCCATCTCCACAGAGATCAGTGACTGTACCTTGGGAATTGAACAACTTCTCAGAGAAGTGGGGCAGATGTATGAGGCTGTGGAAGAAACTTCCTACAAAGGAGATATCATCTTTCTCTCCCTGCCCCAAATTGCTGCAGACCTGATGCTATCCGGCATGCCCATTGAGCTGATGGATGGGGATGCTTCCTATGTGCCTCTAAAATGGGTGGCAGCTGTGTTTGACAAGGTCTCTGAGAAACTTCCGGGCAAGAGAGTATTTGTTCTTTCTATCCTGGGCCTGCAGAGTTCAGGGAAGTCCACCCTGCTGAATGCCCTTTTTGGGCTGCAGTTCAGCGTCAGTGCAGGCAGGTGCACCAGGGGAGCCTACATGCAGCTCCTGAAGGTGGAGGAGACCTTCGCACAGGAACTTGGATTTGACTTTATGCTAGTTGTAGACACAGAGGGACTCAGGGCCCCAGAAGTCATCAACAAATCCCAGAACAGAGACAACGAGTTGGCAACTTTTGTCATTGGACTTGGAAACTTGACTCTGATCGATATTTTTGGAGAGAATCCATCAGAGATGCAGGATATCTTACAAATAGCCGTCCAAGCCTTTCTGAGGATGAAACAAGTGAAAATCTTCCCCAGTTGCCTCTTTGTCCATCAGAATGTGGGGGAAGTTACAGCTAAAGAGCAAACCATGGAAGGACGAAGGCGGCTACAGCAGAAACTCGATGACATGGCAGCAATGGCTGCTGAGCAGGAACAGTGTTCAAATGTATCCTGCTTTGGTGATGTCATTAAATTTGATGTCAATACTGATGTCCACTACTTTGCTCACCTGTGGGATGGCAATCCCCCAATGGCTCCTCCTAATCCTCGCTATAGTCACAATGTCCAAGAGCTGAAAAGTAGAATTCTTCTCATGGCTCAGCAGGAATCTAGGGGAAAAATCATGAAGATATCAGATGTGAAATTCCGAGTAGAAGACTTGTGGAGAGCCCTGGTCAGTGAGAACTTCATTTTCAGTTTCAGAAATACCCGAGAGGTCATGGCCATGAGCAAACTGGAAACCATGTATAACCAGTGGTCCTGGAGGCTGAGGAGCCGCATGCTGAACTTGCAGAATCAGCTGAACAATCAGATTCAGAATGGAAAAATTCAGATATTGAAAAGAAGTTCACTTGAAGATCCAATTACAAAAGAATATGAGACTGTTAAGGAAGATCTTGAGAAGTATTTCAAGGAAGACCAAGAGAGTGAAATACTGATTCAGTGGAAAGGAAATTTTGAAAATAAGTTACTAATTCTTAAAGACACACTTGTTTCAGATGCCTTTAAAGAAGCCAATAAGCATGTTGATCTTAAGAAAAGTCAAGATAGGCTGAATGAGAAAAAGACGAGTTATGAAAATGAAATTTTGGAGAGGAGCCGAGAGTTGGCTTTAACTGTAAAAAGTAAAGAATTGAGTGAGGAGGAGCTACAGAAGAAATTCAATCAACTTTGGATTAAATGGGTCTGTGATGTGTCCTCAAATCTGCCTCCAGCAATAGAACCAAATATTGAGGTGGATTCTGAGAACATACTTTTGGAGCAATTCAAAACAGAGAAAAACTTAGCAAACATATTAAAGACAAATTCTGGGAAGAAATTTGAAATCAATTATGATAAACATATCAAAATGAGTAGGAAATTTTGGGGTGTGAAACATCAGTTAGAGGCAGGTGATAAGGAGATAATTAATATGACTACTAAACGCATTGTTTCAAGATTTGATGAAACTATTAGTAATATTCAGAAGCAACATCGTGATTACAATGCAACTGATTTCCATGAAATTCTAAGAATAATAGAAGAAGAAGTAGCATCTGCACCAACAAATCAAAAATACTCATTTACAAGCCAGTACACGATTGAATTGTCTTTGTGTTTATTCGAAATTGCATCAAACAGTTTTAAAGAAATGCATAGGGCATTTGAGACAGCAAATGATCCTGTCATCTATCTGAACAGTAAAAAACATGATTTCTTCATGAGTTTCAAGATCTCCTGCCAAGGAGCAACCTCTATCAAATCGTTTGTAGATTTTCTGTGGAACAAGCTCATTCCTGCTGTATCTACCACCATATGGGAAAACATGGCCCCTAAAATTGCTGGGGACCTGCAGGCCACCTGCCCTGCATTCAATGGAAACAGGGCTCAGCTGGAAAAACATATCCTCATCTCTCTGGCAGAAGAAGAAGACTTCGATAATTATTGGCAGTACATTCATTATCCAAAGTCCTTTTTCAGTGGTTACATTGGGAAGCAAATTAATAGATACTGTACAGAAGAAGTAGATAAAAAAATAAAGACTTTTTTAAAAATAAATTTAGACATCATCAAAACTGCCATCCTCTGTGCAATTCACGAATCCACAGCACAGGCTAAAGATAAAAGCAGCACTGCTTCTGAGTGGTTGGATTTGTTCTGTGATCACCTGGGGAACAAATTGATCTTTCCACGAGCAGACTTGAGAGGCATTGAACACCAGGAGATAAAAGATATGGAGTTTCTCAAGGAAGCCATGATTGAAGTATTGGATGCTGCAATGACAAAAGCAGAAGAAATGTTTTCAAGTACACCTATAACTGGAATGGTTTCTAAAGTTGAGAGAATCCTCTCTGAACAACTCTGTGGCTGCTGGAAACAATGTCCCTTCTGTAATGCAATTTGTACCAACACCATTCCTAACCATGATGGAGATCACAGTGCTCCATTCCACCGTCCTAAGGCTGTCAATGGATGGCATTGGTATAAAACAGATGAGTTTGCCATTGACTGCTGCTCTACATCAGTGGCAAGCAACAATCTGATTGTTCTGAGTGAAACCTGGAAAATCCCATTTAAGACCTATAGGCTGGCAGGAGGGGACTATGCCGCTTGGAGCATCACCCCAGATTTATCCTCCCAGCCACATTGGAAATGGTTTGTCTTTCATTTCAAATCAAAGTTAGAGGAAAAATACAAGTTTAAATTTAAAAATAGAGGTGAAATCCCTGAGGCATGGGCAAAAATCAGAAAGGAAGATGTGCTTTTAGATTTGAAAAAATAACTCAGTTACCACAAGAAAATAACTCTCAACACAGAAGACACCTCTGGTATCTGAGCAAAAATGTCAGTTTGATACCATACTAAATCACATGCTTCCTACAACTAGAACCTTCAAGTGCCCACCTTTTAATGAAATACATGAAAGCAAGTTGAGTAACCTTTGAGAAGTTGAAGATATCCTATCAGAACTTCTTTCTCTCTGTGCCAGTTTCTTCAGGTTTAAAACCAAATTACTAACATATGTGAACCTTTGAGAAAATTAATTTAAATAGCTAGTTTCATACTTAAACACATTGTCCTAAATATTTTCTAGAATATATGCTGGGCCAGGCATGGTGACATATGTCTGTAATCTCAACACTGGGGAGGCTGCTGCAGAAGGATATCTACTAGTTCAAGGTCAGCCTGGGCTTCAGAATGAATTTCAAGACCAGCCTGAACTGCATAGTGAAACCAAGTCTCAAAAAGACAAAAAAAATGATAAAATATGTGATGTCACAGAGAAAGTCACCTTAACAGGAAATTTAAATTCACTGCAGGCTGCCACAAATTTTTTATAGAGTAACTATTTTTATATTTGAACAAAAATATACATTTTGAATAGAAGTTATATTGACTATGTAAGGGTTTTAAGTGAGTTTTCTTTCACCACTATGTAAGGTTTTTAAGTGAATTTCTTTCCCTATTTCAAGTTGTTGGCAAAGGTTATTGAACCTAAATTGTAAAAACATTCTTGGAAATTTTATGATTTCTAAGCATAGCAATGCTTAAGTATATTTTATTCTATGAAAGGATAAATTACAGAATTTACCAAGATAAAAACTTTATCAACTGTTGAAACATTATTAAGCAAAGATAGGAAGAGAAAGAAAATCAACTATTTTTTTCATTTAATCATCATTATCATCTTCCCAGGTATCTGGGTATTTCCGTGTTCATACTACACACACACACACACACACACACACACAGATTCACAAAATTTAAGAATTCAAAGCCTAGTACTATGTATAACTCTGAAAAGGATTTGCTTCTGGGATAAAATTTATGATGACCAGGTGAAAAGAACAATTCTAATCAAGTCTGTGGAGAAAGCCAAAAATTCCTTAAAGAGAAAAATCAAATATATACAATATAATTTTCCAAATCCTGAAAATTAGTTGGGTTGTATTTTAATAAGAAATTGTTTATTACATATAAAGTGTAATTAAACACTTGCCTGCAAGTGACACACATTTGTGGCTCTTTAACCATTTGGACCTTAAGGTCTTGGTCAGAATTAAGATGATATAAACTCTGAAGCCAGAGAAAGACTGGAGAAGGAAAGAACATCACTGTTCTGTAAATCCACCCCTAAGGCTCAGTTTCAAAGGTGGGGATCTAAAAGAATCATAATAGAAAAAAGAATATTTCTACATGTTTGGGTATTAAGGCATCCATTGGGTTCCATTTACAGGAAGATTGTCTAGCTCTCTATGGGCAGTGAAAACAGACATCCCAGGGAATGACTGCTAAATATTGTGAATCCTCAGAAATGGGATATGTGAATGCTGACACTGTCCTCTTTGTCCCCTGAAAGGGCTTCAAGCATAGTCTGTTTCTGATCAAGTGACTACTACATCTAGAAACGTGAGACAGAAAAATTACAGACTGTTCTTGTACAGTGTTCTTTGTCTTTGTGAGCATTTCGGAAAGGTAAATATTTTGGAAAGATTTCCTAATGTGATATAATTGAAATGGTGATGAAACTGAATCTGTGCACAGCATGATTCCCATCTCTCTCATCAATGCACCTGTGAAGAAGACTAAATGTTCAATTAATATATGATTAGTCCTTTTTAAACTTTTTCAATGAATTCTCTAAATATTTTAAGGAAAAATTATTATATATTGTATTCCTTTTGATTTTCAAGACAAAATGAAATCAAAAGAAGATCTTTGAAAGTTGTTATTCTTGGTTTTGTAATAAAATTGTTTTATTTGTGAAAATTAGAAAGCTCTTGTACAAATTCCTCGAGTTGGTAAGAAGTGTGATATTTAAATTAAATTCAGGGGCTATGCTTAAGGAGACTTACATGCAAAAATAGAAAAGGTAATTGTGATAGAAGGTGAATGAGCAAAAACAGTGATTACTGAGATAGTTGTAGGGCAAGTAATGCTGCTGTCATGGCGAGCTCAGACATAGAGGGCAACATAGTGTTAGTAGATTGGGTGCCACTGGGGAAGGAAAGCTGAGAAACAGTGGAGCAGCGCACATGGAGTCAGGAGGAATGAGATCACCCAGATGAGGAGACCCTGGATCCAGGAACAGATCAAAAATTAGAGGTCAGAGTTATAAGGTCAGCAGGGACAGGGTTTACCTGGTCAGTAGAATGGGTCTCTCATTGTCCCTGAAGTGAGGAATGGAGAAATGGAAATAGGGCATCTCCTCCCCAGTAAATTTTACAGAGATGCTAGCCAGTCATGCAGAGTGAGAAAGGAGCTAGAGGCCTATAGGGATGTGGCTAAGGAAATGAAGGATTCCATGACACCAAATCATATGAATCTGAGTTACTCACTTTTATGTGGATTATAAAGATTAGAACACATAGAAGTAGAGACTAGGATGGTGCTTACCAGAAGAGGAGGGGATGACAAGGGAAAGAGGAAATGTGGGTCACAGAGGAATTTCAGGAATTTCCATGTACTGAATCTCATGTCAGTCTCACCTGTTTCTACCCAGGGCTGTCCTTTTCCTTTTCACTCCAGCTTATGTTCTCTCTAACCCTTCAGTTTAACCCACATGCATATCCAGGAAGGGAGCTATTTTATCTAGAGACAGAGATATATTCTTTATTGATATTCTTCCTAATTTCACGTAAAATACTGATTAAATTTATACAGCAATAAATGGAAACAGATAGTGCATATGTCTGGAAGGTCAACAGTAAGGAAACTACAACAGTTACTAAACCCCCTCAGATATGCTGTTGAAGGAAACAAGAGGCGATCCGCTTGTAAATGTGTGAATTTTAAACTTTAGCCCACTGCTTGACTCTTCATAAACTTCTGGCAATTATTTTCTTATTCTGCTTTAGAACTACTCAAGTGTTTCCTTGCCACAATCCAACACTTCTCTCTCAGCCCAATGGAAATCCACGTCTGAAAATCCCTTCGATCTCCCTCTTTCCCAGGACCAGTTGCTGCTCTACTTTCATTGTCCCCAGTATTAATCCATTCAGACTGTCCTCTGCTGCCTCCTATTACTAAAATTATCTGTCTCACCTAGGAAGAAACATTGTGATGGTTGTAGGTATACATCTTGCTATGGCTTGTGTCTGCATGTCCCCCCAAATCCTCATGCAGTCATGGGCAAGCTTCTAGTTTTTCATTGATCCATAGTCCAACGCTGGAATTATGGATGTGAGTGCTACACTTGCTCCCGGGGCAGGTAGTTTGCATACAATATAAGGGAGGGAAAAAGCCTTGCTCTCTGCCACTCCTCCCCTTTTTGCTCTTGTTGATTTTGCTGGTTTTTGCCACCATGAACGTTGCCCTTTGCCATATTGCACTCTGTCTTGGAGCCAGTCAAGTATGGACTGAAACATCCACAAACTGTGAGCTACATAAACCTTTCCTTCCTTAATTTTGGGCATCAGGTATTTTGTCCCAGGAATGAGAGAAAAGTAACCAAGACACAGAGCAAGACACCATCTCCACATGAAAAAATAAAAAAAAAAAGAACTTAATATAAACTGTGATTGTATTGTTTTCCAGAATAAAGTTCCTAAAGCAAAGATATAGCCAGGTCATTCCTATAGGACAAATCTACTCACTGGGCAAACTGACTAATCACACACATATGTCCCTCTGAAGAATATGGTACAAGAATTTAGTCTTGTTACACTATCATGCATAATTTAAGAATAAGATTTGTTTAGACTAGATTTGTTAAGTCTAAGATTTGCAAAATGTTCCTTTCTTTTTAACATGCCCCAAATGACTATCTCTATGCTCTTGTTTCTATTATAGTCTACTTTAGTTATCTTTTCTGATCTATTGATGTTTGCTAAAATTATATAACCTGATAATAAATCTTGTTTCAGTAGTCAATTTATAGTGTTCTCAATCTTCAAATAAGGTTTTATCTTTACTTTTCATCTCCACAGCATTTTCTTCATTATATCTCAAAATAACCATTTTTATTGAACTTTTAAAACTGTTACTCCTGTAGTTGTGATATCATGTTATTGAATTGCCAAACTTTTTAAGGAATGCACTTACTTTTACATATTTTGTGAAGTATTAGCTTAATGCTTGCAGACTAATTATGAAGAAACAAAAAATAGGCTGAGAAACAAAACTGGGAGCTTAGAGGCAACAAAAAAATGAGGAAATATAGATCCCCCAACCTCTTCTCCTTTACTCATACATCAGAAGTCCAAGTTCTCTGGCCTTTGGACTCTGAGACTGACAAAAGACACCCCAGGTCTTGGGCATTTGGCTTTGGACTGAGAACTACACCACCACTGGATTTTCTAGTTCTCCAGCCTTCCCACTTGGACTGAATCGTGCTACTGACTTGTCATGCACTCCAGTTTGTAGATAGCCTGTTTTGGAACTTCTCAAACTCAATAACCACATGATCAATCCCTTCTCATGTATCTATGCCTACATATTTATCTATATCCCATTGGTTCTATCTTTCTGGAGAATCCTAACCAATATAATCATGCATACCTAGTTTTTAAGTATTGCTTTCTAACATATATTCCTCTCTTTTTAACATGTGTTCTCTTACCCATCTCTGTGATTTTTTTTTATGATAGTCTCTTTTTTGACATCTTTTTAGTCCCTTATTACTTATAGAAAATATACATCCTATATAAATTAAAGTAGTACTTCAGTAGAATTAAATTTATGAAATGTTATTAAGTATTAGGTAATTGCCTTTACTTTTGACCCTTATACTTTTTCTTTATCATGTCTTAAAATATTCTTTTCAAATAGTTATTCTTTTATTTGTGGTATCTTCTTAGTGAACTGTCAGATCTTTTAAGTCAGGAACTAAGTTTCCCTCATCTTGTGAAGTCTGAGCACAGAGCTTGTACAGAGCAGCAGTCACACTCTGACAGAGAAAGCACAAAAAGGAAAGGGTTTTAGAGTTATGGTGCCAGTCAAAGTCTTCCAAAAACTTTAAAATGTCAGCAAACATATCCTCTAAAGGGCACTATCTTCCATCCAGCATCTGAATGCTCTCTTCAGGTCCTTCTTTCTTAGACTGAATATGATTCAATTCAACATGGAAGACATAACCAAATAGAACACAGAGATGACCATATCTTTTTCATTCATAGTCTTGGAATTGGGTCTTATGTAGGTAAATGTTCAAGAGCCACAGCACAGCATTGAGTTATACACTAACACTTTTAATAATAATGTTCATAATGATTAATATAAAGAGAAACTTACTTTCTGTGACAATGTGGTCAATACATCTAGGTAGCATGCTCAAGTTTATAAAATTATGTAGGTTGACTGAATTCTAACCTTTGAAATCTGACCAAGTGACCCAAAATGTACTATACTATCACCCTGCTACACGGAAAAAATTTCTCTATATACGAACAGGAGTGCTGCACAAGAACATATCAACTCAGTGAAATATGTGCCTCTATTAAAAATAAAAGGAAATTCATCTAAATAGGTACAGAGTTTGCAGGAGATTTGCCTACTTCTAGAATATTGACTATAGTTAATTTTTTAAATTTTTTAATTTATATTTTTAACTTGTTTCTAATTCATTTTCTAATACATAAAAGTATTAATGAGGTACCATAACATTATGTTTCAGCAGGGGTGTACAAACCTTAGTATTTAAATTAGGATACACATTTATCTCCTCAAACATTTAACTTTTTTATGGCAAGAACTTTTTAAATCCTTTCTTCTAGCTTTTGAGAAGTACAATACATTATTATGATCTGCAGTCACCCTTGCACACTGCATCTTCTTCTCTTACCTGACTAAAACTCAGGGTCCACCGAACAGCATTGCTCTAGCAGTCTTGACCCCCATTCTCTCCTGCTTCTGTAACCATCATTTTATTTTCAACAACTATGAGGACAATTTAAAAGTAACTTCTTTTACTATTATAAATAAAGTAGTTATAGTACTGTTTTATTTTGAGGGAAAAAATAGAAAAAGAGTTCACTAATTCCAACAAACAGAAATATCGCCCCAAAATACTATCATTCATGATCAGTCATGTTATTTTTGATCATCAAAATGGAACACATAGCTTTTTTATATAGGTTTTGCTCTAAAGAGAGTTTTAAATAAACTAGTAGTTGTATAGCATATTAAATTTCCCAAGAAATTAAAGTATATTTTCCCTTTTTTAAGTTTTTTATTGTATCTCTAACAGATTTAAAAGAATGGAAAATGGCATGCACTTAGGAACTAGCATGTGATATTTTTATGCATGTATAAATTGTATACTTTTAAAGTCAGAAACACATGACATAAATATGAACTCTTTGCATTGTTATAAATGTCCAGGCAGGTTTACTAACTGGAAAAGCATTGTTCTGTTCTATTTGTGTGCTTTTATTTATTTACCATAACCCTTGGTGATGGTATGTCCTATGTTTGTATGAGGATTTCATTAACTTCTTTACTGCTTTAATTTGAAGCACTAGGAGATATTCCCATTGAAATACACACACACACACACACACACACACACACATGCAAGCATGCACATATGCACAAACTTGCTAGACCACCCATAACAACCAAACTTGGAGAGAGGAAAAGAATATACATGACACATAAACACACAAACTACTAATTGGTATATTAGACAAGATTGTGAGTGCTCATCTAATCTTTTAAAATGATTAATTCATCTGAAAGTTGCACAAATCTCAAAAGTCATCTTCCAAAGGCAGCGAAGTAGTCTTTCTTCGGTTGCACATTTGAAACTATTTTTTTCTGCTTCTTATTTTGGTCCAATATGGGCTAAAAAAATCTAGGATCATTTGGTCATACCATTACAACCTCTCAACAAAGCAGTTGCCTAGAGAAACAGAGTAAAATTTAAAAACCAGGAACAGCAATGTTAAACAGTAGAAACCACACTCTATGAAATATAGAGAGAAGATTAAAAGAGCATTTGACAAACATGATTACATTTCTATACTTCTGTATTAAAAGACACATTTTTAACTACATTAGTTTGTGATAAGAATTTGATGCATAAGACAATCTTTTGACATTGAAGAGGAATTAATTTTGGAGATCTACCTAGAGGGTAGGGTGTGTCTGCACAATATATTTTCCAAAGATCCTCTCCAAAGCTCCCATGACCTCCTTATTCCTCAGGCTGTAAATGAGGGGGTTCAGGGCTGGGGTGACAATCGTGTAGAAAGCAGAGGTGATGTTATCCTGTTTGGGATTGTGGAAGGAACTGGGTAGGACGTACATGAGTGTAGCCGCCCCATAAAACATACCTACCACAGTCAGGTGGGAAGAGCAAGTGACAAGAGCTTTCTTCCTCCCATCCTTTGAGGGTATGTGGAGCACAGTGAGCAGAATCAGAATGTAGGAGGCAATAATGGTAGAAAGAGGGAGTAAAAGGAAAGTCACACCTGTCACATAAACCATGAGCTCATATCTGGAGGTGTCTGCACAGGCCAGCTTCAGCAAGTTTGGAATCTCACAGAAAAGGTGTCTGATTTCCCGAGACATGCAAAAGGGATAGTGCATGGTGTACACTGTATGTCCTAAAGCATTCAGGGATGCCAGGATCCAGGATGAGACCACCATGAACCAGCAGACTCTAGGTCTCATGAAGATCATGTAGTTCAGAGGGTGACAAATGGCCACATATCTGTCATAGGCCATGAAGGCCAGTAGGAGGTCCTCTGCACCACCCAGTGTCAGTGCCAGGAACATCTGCAGGGCACAGCCTCCAAAGGAGATGCTGTTTTCTCTGTGCAGGAAATCCATGAGGGCCTTAGGAGTGACAACCGATGTGAACAGGAGGTCCATGAGAGACAGCTGCCCAAGCAGGAGGTACATGGGCACATGGAGCTGGATATCCACTGTGATGACCAGGAGCAACAGGCCATTGCTGATCAGGGCCACCATGTACAGGGCCGTGATTATGGCACAGAGAAGTTCAGGAGACCCACTGTCCTTCAGGATCCCCACCAAGATGAAGTCACTTCCTAAGGTAGAGTTGAGCTCCATTCTGTGTGGTTTCTTTAGTTGTCTAGAACAACATGATTTGTTAGTGGAATTTTGTAAGAAGCTCAGCCTACTTTGGATTGTTCTAGAACACTGTGGGATGGACAATAGAACTCCCATGAAGTATTTTATCTTTCACTTAGTTAAATATTCCCCCTGGTTTGTGAATTTTTCAACGCTTTTATTGACTATGATGAGTCATCAGCTAACCAGGTGTGAATTGTGAATTTAAAATTTACCTTATTGGGTCAGGGATATAGCTCAGTGGTGCTGTGCCTGCCTGGCAAGCATGAGGTCCTGAGTTCAATTCCCCATACCAAAACAAAAATTACTTTATTTAAGGTATTGAGGAGAATAAGTCCTGTAAACATCTTTGTAAATGTTTGAAAACATTCCTGTCTTCATAATAATCAGACACACTTGGCATTTGTTTAAAATGTGTGTGTGTGTTTTTTTTTGTTTTTTTTTTTTTTTTTCTTAAAATCTACTTGGAGTAGCAGTTCAGTTTTCAATATGTTATTCCTAAAAATCTCTTTACCATTTTCTCACTCTGACCACGTTTCCCTTTACTTTATGGCCATATTTTTTGATAGCTACAACAGAAGAATCTCTGGCTCTTAGACCACTAGATCTCTTGCATAATTCAACCATTCTCACCTTCAGAATGGGTGGACTGCTAGTCTGCTGGGGATAGGGAGAATTCTGGGTTTATTCAATTTATTCTGGGTTTATTTGATGACATAGATCTGAAGGTAAAACTGTTCACAATTTTAAGGTAATGGTAATATTTTTCCTCAAGAAGAGGCAAGAATAAAAGGGAGGGGCTGGGGATTTAGCTCAGCGGCCAAAGCGCCTGCCTGGCAAGTGCAAGGTAGTGAGCTCGGTTCCCGGTACCGGAGAAAAACCAAAACCAAAAAATAAATAAATAAATAAATAAAATAAAAAAAGAATAAAAGGGAAAATGATGGGATATTTTGATGCATGGTAGTCATTATGCTTAGGACAAATGATAAAATGAGTGACATAAAAAGGACACATTTTAGGAAAAGGCCAAAGCCATATTATAAGCATTATTCAAGATGTTCAACAACATCTGAGCATGCAAAACAGGTCCCTGTGCCTTGCAAATCTTAGCAATATGTGGACAGTTATTGTCCTACTGACTCCCAAACCCATTTGATAGTATCTGGGAAGGAGACTGAGGAGCAAATGACATGGAATGTGTAGGGTGTATGTGGCAACATCCACTTAGCTTGCTCTTGTGAACTCAGGTCTTGCACAGTTGGATCAAAGGCATTCCAGAAGAGAGAGAAGATAATTCATGACCAAACGGTTTCTCTTTCCTTCCTGTTATCCCCACCTATTCCTCCTATCTTTTGTTTATGTTACCAGCCAGGTTATCTCAGAGGTAGGACTTTTAAGAGGTAGAATCATAAAAACCTCACACTGGAAGGCACATATATTTCCTTTTTTTCACTCAGTAAATATTAAGGACCTATACCGTATCAGGTACCATACTTGATACACTGATTTTACAGATGTGAAAAACTAATCACACAAGCACATCATCCAATGGTGATGGTGAATGTCTGAAGGAAAATATGACTTATTGTAAGACTATATAGAGTCACCTCTCAGAGGAAGTGTTATATAAGCTATAGGCTGAGGATGAACAGGAAATAATTTAATATGGATCATGGGATAATAAAAAAGAGAAAGGCATCATAAACTTCAGGACATTGTGAAAAACCAAAAAAATAAAGGGATGTCTTTCCAGCACTTCTCCCACAGTGCTGGATGAGGATCCATCCAGAGAAATACATTCTTTAAAATGATGTCTTATAATTTGTTGGAGAGTCAGACCTTTCCTTTGCTTCACCAAATTCAAATTGTAGTTCTAACCTGAGAAACATTGACTGGAATAACTTCCTTGCCTATTGACAACTAAAAGGTATATTCAAAATGACTCTGAGTGTTTTTTACGGTGAATATCAGACTTAGAATGTTCTTGTTTCACTGACTAAAACACAAGTGGATAGACAAATAAAGAGAGGAAAATGATGAGCTGAACATATTCATCCGGATGTCTACACAAAACTTTAGATAATATACCAAAGAAGTATGAGTTGCTGTACTCAGGACTCTGCAACCTATGTACCTTCCACTTACCTCTGATTTAAGATTTTACCTCCCCCACCACTTCCACTTGCTGATTTCTCCCCTCCGGGGCCCTCTACAGAGAAAGAACAGAGAAAAACACACCAACGCAAATGGAGAACTTCTGGTGATTTGTAGAAACTCTAAAGCAACAGCAGTCAGGAGAGGCTGATATTATTAGAGGAGCATTGTTACATTTAATGGGAAATCCTGGACAAGAGAATAAAGCTAAAATTATGTAAGCATATTTTTCTTTTCTCTCTGTCCTTATGTATTTATTTTTTTATTGTTTTCAGTTGGATTTTGGTGGCACTTTTAGTGTTAACCAAGTATGTAGAGAAGAGGAACTTCAAATAATATTACATAGTCCTCTTTTAAGGTACTAATCATTTTGGGGCCCATATCAAATGCTTGAAGGCCAGGAAAATGTAGGTATACATTTTAAGTATCCATAATCAAGAGTGCTAGAAATTCAGAGTCAGCCAGTGGTATAGAATAATTAAAAGTATCCCTACATGTACAAGGTTGGCTCATGTGAAAGATGCCTAGACTGTAGAGGGCTGAATGAGCAATAAAGCCCAAGGACCTATAGCATTCAAGAAACAGAGCAGTGTAAAGTTTTGATCCATTTTGTTAAGACTTATCAACTCTACATATATCTCCAAACCAGACAGAGTTCTTATCTCAAAAAGGAATCAGAGTTGCTAGACCACACCAACTGCCCTAGGATTTACTTCAGGGATGAAAAGACCTAAGGCATTGAAGCAAGGGTAAGTGGTTATTCTGGCAGGATGGGGTGTAGGAGGGTGTATAGCTGTGGCTGGGATCAGAGGTAAATTGAAGATTTGATTAGGAGACAATCACTGATATGGCCATTTCAGGCTGGCAAAAGAATGGCTGCAGATCAGAACCTAGGGCAGGATCTTAAGAAAGCAAGATGCAGGCTCCTCAGAAGGTCTGTCATCCACTGTCTTTGTGAGGAAGGGTTTCATAGCTACGGGGGCAATTCTGAGGGAGTTTTGGGGTCAGTGTACTCACATTTTCCTATATTCTTCTCCTGCTGGAGTCCATGATAAAGATGAACACAAGGCTTTGGGGAAAGAGGTATTGGAGGAGCTACTCAAAGAATCACCAGGGCCTAACTTCATCATCCCTGGGGCAACAGTGACCCTGACCTTGTCCTTGGGGACCTTTCAGTCTCTTCTCCTCAGGTGATAGGACCTCCCCTGAGAATGCTACTTCAGGAAAGTGAATTTTAATGAATTCTCCAGGGCCTGTCTCCTCACTAGCCAATTCTGAGAACTTCTCCAGGTAAATGGGCTCTGAGGCCTAGACTTGTTTTGACCCCCATGGTCTTGCTGAGGCTGTCCTGCTTAAATTGATGGTATCTGTGACTAACCCCAGAAGTAGGGACGTCTGTCCAGCCTGTCCAGCCTGTCCAACTTTAAAGTGTGTCTCATGATTTCTCCAAGGGCTGTCACTCTCTGTCTCTTTCTTTGTGCTTCTTGCCTGGGCTATTATTACCTACAGGGAAATTTAACAATCAACTTCTGCTAATATCAGGTCCCTCTTACTGATCTTTAATTAGTATCCTGCACTGTTTTATTGGATGTTTCTATGAATTTTCAGTTCTTTCTTCCTTATTTCTATTCCTCACACACATGCACGCATGTTCATATGCCTGCATGTTCCGTTTCCAGAGGGCTCAGATATTCTGAGTTCTGGAATGATGTCACAGCAACAGTTATCAACTATCCCTGCTTTAGTTCTGGCTTTCCTCATCTCACACTGTTCTTTGCTTTATCTTCCTCATGTTTCACCCTCTCTTTATTTATTCATTTTACCAATTATTCTTGAAACACTGCTACTGGAATTTTCATATATTTTGCTTTCAACATTAAGAAAATTAAAACATGAGAGAGCAGATCCATTCCCATGTGAGAGTGCAGAACATGTTTGGCATCCACCCCTGCAAATGAAAGAGTGGATTCAGAGCAGTGTTCCCTCCATGTGAGAGACCAGACCCAGTACAGCGCTCCATCCCTCAAGTGAAAGAGCAGACCACCATGAGAGGAGCAGTGTCCTGGTCAGGTCAGGGCAGTAGAAGTAAAAATTAACTAACCAACCCATTCTACAAGTAGACAACCCAGGGAATGATGGGAGAAACCAGACCCCACAACTGTCAGCATTAAATCAACCAGCCCACTTGAACCCCAGCCTAGTGGCCTATATCCAAGAGAGACAAGAGATCATGGTAGAAAACAATAAAACTGAAGACACACACAGAAAAAGAATGAATGAATTAAATATTTGATTCTTCTTGATAATAAATAAACAAAACCTTATTAAAATATAATAAGACCACAAAAGCGGAGAAAAGAGCCAAATAAATCCAATTAGAAATAAAAAAGGTGAAATCATAATGGACACTGACAAAGCCAAGAGACTGACAACAACTTAGAGAATTCACAAAAAAATAATAGATTCATATGAACTGCCAAACTGAACCAAGGAGATTTAAAAATCCTGAATAATCCTATAACAGGCAATGAAATTAAAACAGTAATTTGAATTCCTACCAAAAAACCCTAGGTGCACATGGGCTCACAGTTGAATTCTACAAAACCTCAGGAAAGTCCTAAGACCAATATTCATCAAGATTTCTAATGAAATTTAAAGTAAAGAAGTACTCTCAAAATCTTTCCTAGAAGCTAATATTATATTGATTCCAAACCAGAAAATGATCCAACCAAAACATAAAACTGTAGACCAATCCCTTTAATGAGTATAGATGTAAAAATCCTCTATAAGACACTGGCAAATAGAACACAACAAATTATTCAAAAAATCATACATCACAACCAAGTAAACTTCATCCCAGGGATGCAAGGACAGTCCAACATACATGAATCTGTTAATGTAGAACATCACATAGAAGCAGGGACAAAAATCACATGAGCATCTCAACAGATGAAGAAAAAGCCTTGGAAAAAATCCAAAATCCTTTCATGATAAGAGCAGTGAAAAAAATAGTTATAGAAGGATCAATGGGCTGTTGGACATAAATGTTGATAGTTGTGGAGTCTGACTGCACTTAGTCTGATAAAAGACATTTAGGACACACCTACTACCAACATCATATTAAGTGGGAAAAAGCAGAAAACCTTAACTATAAAATCAGAAACAAGACAAGGACGTCCTCTATTACCACTCCTATTAAACACAGCATTTGGAACATTAGCAAGAGCAATTAGGCAAGAAAAGAAAAAAATAGGACTATGTATAAGGATGGATGATCCTCTACTTAGAAAATCCCAAAAACTCTACCAAAAGACTTACTACTTATGACCAAATTTAGTAACGTAGCAGGATACAAAATCAACACACACAAAAAACAGCATTCTTGTAAGCTAATAATGAACCCATTGATAAATAATTTTTTAAAATGCCACTCACAGTAGCACCAATAAAAATTAAATACTTAGGAATTAACTAAGAAAGTGAAAGACCTGTGCAATAAAAGCGTAGTATTTGTAAAAGGAAATTTAAGAGGACATCAAAAATGGAAAAATATCCCCCATGTTCCAGCATAGGCAGAACAAGTAGAGTCAAAATGGCCATCCTTTCAAAATTCATATACAGATTGAACACAATTCCATTCAAAGTCCAACAGCATTCTTCACAGAACTGAAGAAAACAATCCTAAAATTCATATGGAATCAGAGACCCAAAATAGCAAAAGTAATCCCAGATACAAACAGCAAAGCAGAAAGCATCATAATCATGGATTTGAATTAAAAAAATATGGATTATATTAAAAAGCTACCATGATAAAAAAAAAAAACAGCATGGTTCTAGCATAAAAACAGAGATGAAGAGCAACATATAGAATAGAGGAGGTAGGAAACAACTTCAAGTACATTCTATTATTTGCTCTTTGATAAAGAAACTAAAAACACGTTGGAGGAAAGATAGCCTCTTTAATAAATGGTGCTGGGAAAATTGGTTATCCACATGTAAAAGGCTAAATTAGGTTGTGTATCTCTCACTGTGTACTAAACCAAAATCAAAATGAGTTTAAGAACTAAATGTTAAACCAGAAACACTTCATCTGCTGGAGGACACAACAGGCAAAACTCTTCAATTCATAGTCATAAGCAAGGACTTTCTGAACAGAACTCCATTTGCACAAGAAATAGTTCTGAAAATCAATGAATAAGATTATATTGAATTAAAAATGTAATTCATGGCAACAGACACAAGAAGCAGAGTGAAAAGACCATCTACAGACTGAGAAAAACAATTTCCCAGCTATTCTTCAGACAGAGGACAAACATCTAGAATATATAAATAACTCAAAAAACTTAGATTATCCCAAAATAAAAGAGCCAATCAAAACAATAGGCCAGCAAAATAAATAGACATGTTGCAGAATAAGAAATACAAATGGATAAAAGTTACATGAATAAATGCTCAGTATCACTGGGTATTAGTGAAATGCAAATTAACACAACACTGAGATTCCATGTTACTCCAGATAGAATTACTGTCATCAAGAAATCAAATAATACAAACCTTCTGGAGGGGCCTTGGACACTGGAAGCCTAGGTGAGTTGCCTGGGGTCCCAGGTCCTTCGGCCCTGCCCCCCACTGCCACCAAGGGAGGGGCATTGGACAGGGGAAGACTTGGTGAGCTGTCTACGAAACCAGAACCTCCAGCCCCACCCACTGCTGCCACCTCCCAAGGGGGCCTTGGACCCAGGAAGCCTGGGTGAGCTGCCTGGGGTCCCAGATCCTCTGGCTCTGCCTCCTGTTGCCAACATGGGAAGGGTCTTAGACTCACCTGGGTGAGCTGTCTGAGAGCCTGGGTCCTCTGGCTCTGCCCCCTGTTGTCATCTCAGGAACGAATCTGAATCCTCAAAAACCTAGGGAGATTTGAAAATGACAAAAAGAAGAAGCAAAATGCAATCTCAGCCAAACACCCAGAACAAGTCCAGGAAACAACAACATGGAAGAACGTGGAAGTCACGCACCTGAAATCTCTGAAATGATAGCAACTGAAGTAAAGAACTAACTACATCACACTATAGAGGAAATCAGGTCAGAAATAATTACTCAGGTAAAAAAAAGAAATGACAACCATAATGAAAGAATTGCTGGGCTTACCAAAAGAAGAAATAGATAAAAAAAAATAGAGGCACACACAAAAATGCTGGAAACCTTGAATGAACAGTATAGGAAAGAATAAGAATGCATGAAACAGATTCAAAGAGACATTCAGAAAATTAAAAATTCCATTGAAAGCTGGAAGAAATGCTTGAATGAAATGGAAGATAGACTCTCAGACCTTGAAGACAGCATTGCAGTGAGTGATCGTGAAAGAAAAGATTTCTTAAAAATAACAAAGGAGCAGCAAATAACAATTCAACAGCTGCAAGATGAGGCAAAGAAAAACAACATAAGGCTGATAGGTGTCAATGAAAGAGCAGGAGACCACATGAATGACATAAAAAGACTATTTGCAGCAGTTATAGCAGAAAATTTCCCAAGCATGGGACAAGAACCTGATATACACATCAGTGAGGCACACAGAATCCCAATTAGCCATAACCAAAATAAATCTACACCTAGACATATAATAATCAAGATCCCAGAAATTGAGCAAAACAACAGGATATTAAAAACTGCTAGAGAAAAATAACAGATCACCTATGAAGAAAAGTCCATCACAATCATGGCAGACTTCCCAACACAGACCATCAAGTCAAGAAGAGCTTGGAGTGAAATATTTCAGATCCTGAAGGAAAACAATTTCCAACTCAGATTACTGTACACCACAAAGCTATCTTTCAAAATTGATGGTGAAATAAGATACTTCCACGACAAAGATCAACTGAAGAAATTCATAAACACCAAACCAATCCTACAAAGAGTGCTGAAAGATTTTCTACGCACAGATACAAATGACCACAATCTCAAAACCAGCAATAGAAAGGAACTACCAAGCAAGGTAAGCAGTTAAACAGAGGGGAAAGTACAGAACCAACAGTGGGAAAATAACATGACAAGCATAAGGCAATACATATCATTAATAAACATAAGTCAATACATATCATCAATAACCATTAATGTAAATGGCATCAATTCACCAATTAAAAGAAACAGATTGGCAGAGCAGATCAAGAAACAAAGTCCAACAATATGCTACATACAAAAAATGCATTTAACTCAAAAAGAAATCCATAGACTGAAAGTCAAAGGATGGAAAACAATACTCCATGTGACAGGAACCCAGAAAAAAGCAGGAGTAGCTATTCTGTTAGCAGACCATGCAAACTTCAAACCAACAACAATCAAAAGAGGTAAAGAATGTCACTATATTCTTGCTAAGGGAAAACTGCAAGAGGAGGAGAGAACAATTATAAATATATATGCACCAAATGTAGGTGCACCCAATTATATAAGGCAAATTTTAACAGACATGAAAGACAAATAAGTAATAACACAATTGTAACAGGGGATTTTACCACCACATTGTCACAAAGACATAGATCAACTACACAAAAAATGAGCAAAGAAAAAACAGAACTAAAGCAAACCTGTGAACAAATGAACTTAGTAGACTTTTACAGAGTATTCCACCCAACAACATTAGAATATACATTCTTCTCAGCTGCATATGGGACATTCTCTA